GGTTTCCAAAGTGGTTCAGTTCTTAACTACAAAATTTTAACAGCAGATATACACGCATGGTAACCAAAAAAGATGGATAACTTATATATACATTACATACTATTTATTTATTTTATTTATTCTTTCTTTATACTGAATATACACTTTCAATACATAGTACTGGTTTCCAAAGTGGTTGAGTTCTTAACTACAAAATTTTAACAGCAGATATACACGCATGGTAACCAAAAAAGATGGATAACTTAACTACAAATTAAAATAGATTTAAAAAGAACATTGGAAGAAACTTAAGAAAAATAAAAAATTTAAATAATAAATATGGATATGCAAGGTAAAAGAAAATCAGGTTAAATTAAGATGGTACTATTGAGGATTTGAAATAGAATGCTTAAATTTGAAAGTGTCATAGATTTAAAGTTGGCTTTAGTATGATCCGAGAGTTTATTGCATAATTTAGTAGATCGGTATACAAAGGTTCTTTTACCTTACATATTATTCCAGGTGTATTCATTTAGTGTATTTTTACTTTGACTGCGAGTACAATGTGTATGCAAACCATTTAAACATTTAAAAATCATTATGAGCAATTGTTAGTCCCATTTATCACTGAGTTTGCTCCACCCTTACAAAAAATATTTACAACTGGGGTTTTTATGTCTGCAGAAAGTAAAATTCTTTCTAATCTGTTTAAAATATTTGAAGTGAATTTGAAAGTTTAATATTACAGTTGGACCAAACACAATTACAGTAATTATAAAGAAGCATAACTAGAGCGTTAGCCAACATCTTAGTTAGGAGTATTATGTATGTATGTACGCATGTATGTATACAATAAATATACTGTACCTAAATATAGGCCCTAGCTAGGTCGAAATATTTGTTTTCTCCAATAAAGTGTTTCTAAAGTCCATACATATGGTGTTCTTTTCCTATTATTTCTTATATATGAAGACGGTTTCGAGTTGACATGGGGCCGAGTTGACATGGGGCCGAGTTCGAATTCACTACTACCATACAGGCTAGAGACTAGGCCTAGTTAGCAGTAGTAGGCCTAGGCCCTAGGCCTAGAGTTGGTTTAGTAGCCAGGCCTAGAGTGACACTCATAGTCTCTAATTTAATAGCAAATCTATGATTTTGTTAAATGTTTAATCATTTTATGAACAAAAATGCATATCAATGCACGTAATCGTTATAAGAAAAAAATAGAAAATGATACAGATTAGCTAACATATTACCTACTTCTTTTGGACTAGACCCCTAGCAGACCACCATCACCACATGTGTTTTTAGTGTTGGTACAGGTCAGGTCATTATTGATTTGGAATAAACTACTTTTTATAAAGGGGCTTTATTGTTTGAACATTTATTATATTCATTTGAAATAAATCTTCATTCAACCAAAAAGCCTTAACGTATTTTATAACATAATTAAAATAATTTATAAAATTACTTGAGTGTAATTTATGCGTTTTATCATAATATATAGTGTATGTCAATTAAAATGGTGTCCCAAATCAAATAATAGCATTTTTCTTCTCTGTAGGTCACATAGTGAGGTCAAATCAACAGTTAAAAAACTAAGTGTGGGAGTCTCGTAAAAAGGTTAGTCCTTTTAATCATTAATACTATTTCACACATTTATTTCCTAACTGGTTTCAATATGATATAGCTACTTATGATTTTACACTTCTTATGTAAGATGAATTTAAATAAATAGTGAACACTATTCACAGTTGTTTTTTTTTTCTAGATAAAGTCGTAGCTAGCTAGCTAGGCCTGTACTGTAGTAGGCTAGTGAAACAGTATGAGACGGACGTGATCTGGGATAGAACCAACCTCTCTAACAAAAGGCTTTCTGAAAGCCCTTCCCTTTAGGGCTAGCCGGCCTACAGTAGATTAATCAAAATAGAATACTGTAGTTGGCCTTTGAGTGCTTCGCCATTTTAATTAATGTACTTATTCAAAATTGTTCCCAATTTCCGATTTGTATTATGTTTATGTGTCTTTATTTCTTATTTATAATAGAAGTTTATTAAAATTAAATTTGGACTAGGCCTAGGTTATGTAGGCCTTGGCCAGTTTTTGAAGAATGCTTTGTTTTGTTGTATACTCATGATGCACAATTACTAATGATATGCAATGGTGATTTCTGATGTCAAGCTAACAATGAAAATTATGTAGTAATTATTGTATGAGTATTTTCTGTTGAATTATACTATAACTTGTTGTCTTAAATCAGTTTGTTTTTTTGTGAATACTTTGCTTGCAAGGATAAACCAACTAACTGCCTATAATATAATAATGAATTAGACCATAAAGCTAGGCTTCCATACAATTGCTACAAGCTATCACCGACAGCTTTTTGGTGATGCTGATTAGTCAGTCAAATCTCGGAGTCTTCTCAATTGCGTCAGGGACTGCTACCTGTACACAGTGCAACAATGGTACTGAAACACTGTAGTGATTTTAAGGAAACCAGGCTTAAATCATTATCTTTAATTAACAATACATTTCCTCTCTCTTTTAAAACTTTAGCACAATAACAAAATGCTTGGTGGGTCAGATGTAAATGATGCCAGCAGTGTGTCATCTCAAACAACAACAAACAGTAGTGGAACAAACACCCCAAACCTAGACAAGAAGCCAGACTATCTCTGCAAATGGGATCAATGTGGAGAGATTGTCGAAACAAGTGCTGACCTTGCCGACCACTTGACTGAACAGCATGCACAGACACAGCTGACAGGCAAGAAAGAGAAAAAATACTTCTGCCTTTGGGATGACTGCAAGGTACGGAAGAGACCATCAAGTAGCAGGGAGTGGCTGCTACGCCACATACTGATTCACAGCGGCGATAAGCCTTTTAGATGTTTATTCACTGGATGTAATATGGCTTATAGCACACGAGATAGTCGGGCAAGACACGTTCAATCTCATTTTTCTGAGCAGAGCTCTCCGAAAATGCCCAAGAATAAAGATGATAGCCCTGGAAAATACCGAAGAAAACGGACACGGTACAAACGTAGGGTTTCCCAAGGTGTGTTTTAAAAGCAATCATTTAATTTCTTTAAAATTTTGGTGTACTTCTTAATGTAGCATTGCACACCACAATTATTTTTTAAGCCCTCATCCATCATATCAGATTAAAAATTAACCATTTTGACCTCTGTCATGTGATTTTTAATGTTATATCAACTATATGCTCCTGAAAATTTTGTAATGTTTTATATTTTATATTGCCATTTTCTCTAAGTCTAGTGCAAGGAAATAGACCCTCTTACTTATTTTTTGTTTTCAGTTAAGAGAACTGATTTCTTTGATACACAAATGATGGATGCCCTCCAGCACCACTTAGTGACTGTGAACATGACAACTCAGCTTGACACTAAAGGACATGGTCGAAGTATTATCTTTCAAGGCATGGTAAGTTTGGATCCTAGGGGAGACTTTATACCTTGTTTAGCTAACCTGCCGACTGCAAATATTGATGATTTCAAATACAGTAGAACCAAAAAAAGTGTCCCCTTAATAGGGGTGCCCCTATTCAGAGGACAGTAACCAAAAATGCAAAAAAAAATGTTTTGTTACAATGTTTTCATACAATGATGACATATAAAATTCTGTATAATTTTATTTTTATTGACATGAGAATCAGCTACAGTAAGTAGAATTAGAACTAATTTATAGCAACAATTTTCAATGCAAATACTATACATTTATAATATGAAATCAGCACAAATGTAACAATAGTTTTATATTTTTTTATTTAAAAAAAATAAACCTAGAGGTCGGGGTTTCAGTCCCTCTCTGTACTATAAATTTTCCTTGTTTCCTTGAGCAAGGCACTTTATCTGCATTACTTCTCCTGTAATCACCTGTCTTGTCGGGCTCGTAGGTAGACCATCAGGCCTGTATGTTACATGTTAGACCCTCCCAATTTCATCAAACTGTCATTACATGGGTTCCACAGGAGTATGTGGGCCTACTCCTGTGATGTTTACCAGCAGCAACTCTTAAAACATGAGGACCTATAGCCAGGGAAAACGAAGCGCTTTGTATCTACAAAGAAAAGGCGCTGTATAAATGATAAATAATAAAATAATAATAATAAAGTGTTTCCAATATTATTTCATGATGCAATGTTAAAGACCAAATATTCCTTTTTTAAATTTAAAATATTGAACTTTCTATTTGAATAATGTACCATGAATAGAGTAACAACTTAGAATTAATTGGGCATGTTGTGATATGTATTACTATTAGAATCCTACATATATATAAAAGTAAAAAAGGAAATGAAATCCCCATGGTTAAGTGTCAAAAATTGACAAGATTGGTTTACATGGAGCAACACATTCAGTAGGCCTATACCAACGTTTACTAGAAGGAATCCCGGGGAGAAAATCCTTAAAAGACAATATTTGCTGTAATAATGGAAAAAGTGGGAAAAGAGCATTTTATTTTAAATACTAAATTAGATAATAAAAACAAAGGTGTGTCAGATTCATTTATTCATTAAATAGAATAATTTGGAATTAATTTCTATTTGAACACTATTTATAAAATTATACTTATTAATTTAGTTCTTTTCACTCTCCTCTCTTCATAGATCAAATGCAGAAGAACTGCAGATGATGGTAAAGTGTCGATGTTAATTCACTGGCAACCAGAAGACATGTAAGTCTATTGTACAATTTATGATTCTAATCTTTCCTTGTGCATTTGGGTAAGATGCGTTTGTTCTAATATGGCTCTGTGCATGGAAGTGTCTGTGTATTCTAAAATATTATCCTACCATTATAATCTCTCCCTTTCCTGGTTTAATTCAGGATCCTGACATGAGGTCTTAGACAGCCTGTTGAATTAGATTCCCTGTTAAACTTGTCAGACCCCAGGTCCATAGACAGGGGGGCTGCAGAGGGTGCGGACGCACACCCGCAAATTCCAAAAGGTCCACTTTTCAAAACCTATGATTTCACAAAATCGTTCCTAATTATCACAAAATGCTATAGCATGCATTGCATTATATATTTGCCAGCTTATCTAACTGTTAATTTTTAATAATGTGGTATGAAATTTGTTAGTAATTAATCGTCTCCGGTGATTGCAGATTGATCTATATAATATGAAGAATGTTATCTATAGGCCTGCAGATGTACAGGACATAATAACGTTAATTTTCAGTTCCCAAAAACACCCCAATTAATGAAAATTTAAGTGAAATATTCATGAATTATGTGTTTGACAAATCTAATATGTAAGACCCTCAAAATGCTACTTTGTTGCTTTTCTCACAAACCCCTCCAGGCCTCTGCCGCTGGACCACCAAATTTCAAAAACTCCACTTTTTAAAACCTGTTATTTCACTAAAATCGTTCCTAACCTTCGCAAAATGCTATAGTATGCATTACATTTTTTTGCCCACTCTTCTACCCGTTGATTTTTAATAATGTGCTACGAAATCTGTTTAAAATTATCAGCTTCAGTGATTGTAGGCCTACAGATGTAAAGGACATGAAAAATTATAATTTCACAGTGGTGGATTCAAGGGGGGAGAGCCCCCTAAAATTATAAAAGAAATGGAGAAGAAAGAAAAATCATAATTAAAGTTTGTGTGAGAGTGCCATTTCCAGCCACTTTGAGGTGCCGTAATCACAAATTTTCTTACCTCAGCCCCAACCATGGTGGGGCTGAGGTGGTATTGACCATCTGTCAGTGCAAGTTTCTCCATTCATCCCACCCTCTATTTCTCCTGCTTTAGTAAGTCCCTAGAAAATACTCAAATGAATGAAAATTTAAATACGATATTACAAATTATGGATTTTAAAAATCCATTAAAAAAGGCCCTCAAAATGCTAATTTGTCAGAGCTTCCAGAAGATTCGCCCCACCCTCGCGGGGATCCCTAGGTAGTCGCCCATCGTAAGGTCCACTTTGGTTGCAAAACGCACCTCCCCATCGAAAATCCTGCCTACGGGCCTGGACACCCCCCCCCCCCTTTGGTTGGCAGGCATTATGCCTTAAGCCACCGCTTGGTCCATGTGCTTGATTTTAAAATTGTATCTAACTTTGTATTTCAAATTGCGAATTATTTTCTTTCTCTTCAGCTTACCAGACACATGGGTATCAGAGGATCAGGTAACAGAACTGAGCCATAAAAGTGTCCGAATCACTGACTTACCAAAAGATACACTCAACCAGATACATCCAAATCTAACAAGGTTTATAAGCAGGAGGAGAAAAGCAAAAAGAAAATGATGTGAACTAGGAATTAAGGGATAAACTAATGAGCATATAAATCAGAAAACTGCTGTTGGTATCACCATTCTTTAGCTAAATATCTTTTTTTCTGATATCCTTTCTTGTATTTTTGCCTTTAGCATGAAAATGTTGATTTTTTTCTACAGTACTTCCTAAATTTGTGTTTGTTATGAATTAACTTTACATAGATGAAATGTAACTGTAACTTGGTTAGGTTGTTCGTCTGTGCTTGATTATTCTCCGTTCAAACTTATAACCCGTCTTGGTAATTTAACCAAGGTGATTACAGTAGAGTGTACTTACTATTGGATGTCAATTAATTTTACATAAAAGACAACCTTACTGTAAATTTTAGCAAATGACAATTTTTAATTAGTAAATGTGTAAAATCTTATAAAGCATTTAGGATTTAAACCTGATTTTAAATGAATTTCTTTTATATTTTAATTAATTTCTTGTTTTAACAAAATACAGTACTTGATATTATACATTATATTATTATTTTTGAATTTGTAAAAATATGAAATTCAAAAATATGATACTTCTGTTGAAGGAAATATTACTTTTATTATTGAAGTTTAATTACACAACAGAACAGTATTCACAAAATAAATGTATTTTGATGTGTATTTTCAAATTTTAACTTTTATTAACTTACCATAAATGAATCTGTTAATATGATGTTGAGAATTTTGTGTAGAGAAAACAATTACATATTTGATAAATGTTAAAATAAAATTTGAATGATGAAGTAAGTCTAAAGATTATTTTACATTTTGACTTATTTCAGTTCTGAGATAAATTTTAATAATAAGAAAGTAGAGATCTTATTTCATTTTTACTAATCAAATAATGGCATTTTGAAAATGATCTGTCTGCCAATAAAATCGTCTTCTGACCAAAATTTGAACAAAAAATAGTTTATTTTCCATTTATTAGCTTGCCAGGCAGTACATCTTTGATGTTAAGATTCAAATATGTCATAAATATCATAAATATTGAATGTGTAAAAAGATGTTTAACATAGCTTTTAGATAACCAGTTGTAATGAATTATTAGTGAAGGATATCATCTCTAAAAAACAGCAGAAAATAACGTCTATAGCGAAATGTTTTAGACTAGAGTGGTGCAATATTGTGGATAGATCTGTTTTCTTGTGTAGATGTACATTGAAGTAAAGAGTTTCAATCGTATCGCATTTGTTGAATCACTAGGTTTTAGAGAAAAGTAAATGGAGATATTGAATATATTTTGTGAGCCATTTGAATGTTGTTATACTTCAATTATACATTATTACCTTTGAAATGTAAATGTTAATAAAATGCAAGTTTTCTTTACAATTCGTATTTTCTTATTTGTATGTTACTCTTGTCTACCTGGTCTTGGTATGTTTCAGCATATCACAGATAATAGTACAGGAATTTATACTGCACCTTTTCCAAATAGATACTAGGTCGATATTAATCTGAACATGCATTTGGCGTAAATCAGTCGAGATTACTTAGCAGTAGCATATCTAGGAGCTGAAATGGCAGCACAAAGGTGGAGTGAGGGGTGCTAAGTCACAAAATAAGGTGGTGTGAAGTGATTTTTAACTACTTGAGATGTGATATTTTTGCTTCGGACAGTTTCTTTAGATTGTTTTTATTGAAGTTTTATTCAAAAATTTCTGGTACAGTCTTGGTACTAGCTAAATACTGTATGTTGCTATTCAAATAAATAACTGGAATCCAAATTATTTTTTCATATTGACTTAATTTAATTAGACTTCATATTCACCTGTTTGACAATATCTTGGTTTACCAGCTTGACCTTTGACATTTAAAACTTTCTACAACAAAGGCCATAGCAGTAAACACTGTTTATATCAAGACCTAGAACATTGACCAAATACCTGCGTATACTTAAAGTCAGTTAAGTAGTACTGTAATTCTCTAATAATTTCAATGATTTAAGAAATTACTTTACTGTTTGATTTTAAGGTTAAATGTATTTATTACAAAATATTTTTGCTATATATTCAATTGCACTTGTAAGGAAGACAGCAATTTCAAATTAAGTTACAGAAATTCATATTGTAAAATTGATCAAAAAATTTAAATTTGTTTTTATCAACACTTAATCAAAAACCATCACAGTACATATTTATCGCAATTTGCATTCACAGAGATTTTCAAATCTGCAAGTTCACTGAAAGAGTAGAGATCAAGAAATCTTCAGCTAGTTCACAACAAACATCGGTGAGAAATCCTTTTAAGGCCGTTCAAATTGAGTTACTGTATCACTAAGAATTTAGTCATTTGAAGCATTTATGACAACACCTGGTACAACCACTGTTCTTGGTTCTTTGCTTATTTCATCCTGCTGAGCTTTAAGACTTTTCAGTAGTAAACGTGGATCTTGTTTGGGGAGAGCAGGACATTTACAAAACTCTCTCATCTTTATTGCCTGGCGAAAATAAGAATAGAGAATCCATAGCACTATCAATGAATATCATTAGGCGTTTATTGACAGCTTACTTTGGCAAATTGGGGTAGATGTCAGCAGGGGAATGGGTTGTCCGTCCGGTAGTTCTATAGTGTGAGGAAATGGTGAGCACTTTCAGGATCTGTTGAATTTTATTTCTGAGGTTATAACCCAATTTATGTAAAGGGACTAGATAGCTATCTGTCAGTGTCACAGCCTCAGTGTCATAAAGGATACCCAGATTTAAGTTTTTTTTATCTTACACTCTCACTACTATTATAACGTACATAAACATACAATACAACTTTAAAAGAAAAAATTAAATATGAAAATGAATTTATTGACTTAGTATCAGGAATTATCTTCATACTGGAAGGGATTAACATCCTGAGGTGTTCCTTTACCAGCCAAATAGTCGAAAAATATTGCACACATTTTAACTTAAATATTAGGAAGGAGATTATTAAAATGAATAAAATAGTAATAATTGTCAATAAAATTTAACATCCATTCCCCCTTCCTCTGCCAGCATGCTATATGAGAAAACAAACTTCCTTTCTCTGCCCTTCTCTGAAAAGCTTTCCAAGATAATTTTTTTCTAAACCAGGTATATATTATACAGTACTAACAATAGATAACAAGCAGTCAGAGGTCTTATGGGAATACATTTACAGGTGGTGATGTACCTTTGGGATGAGTTCTTCTAAATGTTTTGCTCTGTGTTCATGTGTGGGATGTGTACTTAACCACTCCATTTGTACTTCATCGTTCCTTTGACTAGCATCCGCCATTAGCTCCCAGAATACCTGACTTTCCCGGACATCAAAACAACTCTGTCAATTACGAAGATTAAAAAATTGTCAACAAAAATATTAAATTTATTTATCGAGGGCTGTGGGAAGGGTGAGGTAAAATTAATTTCATGGCATTTTCCATTATTTATATTTATTTCTGTATTGCACTTTGTCCAGTCATCACGTAAAAAACATTTATGAGTAATATACATATTTTAACTATTGTGGATTATTACAGTATGGTACATGGGAGAAACTCACCCAGCAGTTTTGGGGTGTTTAGTCAATTTTGGTATATTTATTCCATTCACATGAAAAATCACAATTTCACAAAATAGAAGGAAATAGCAATATTAAATTGAAGAATACTGGTATTAAAACAAAATTACATTAAAATCTATTGATGGAATAACAAATATAAAATTAATAAAATTAGATATTAAAAATAGATTTTATTATGAGTAATATAATTATTGTAATGTAATAAAGAATGGCTTACATTTGCAGCAAGTTCTAGGCCCACTACATCAGCCTCCACCTCCAGGCTTCGACTATACGGCATTTGGATAAGCAACTGGTAAAAGTAGAGCAATGTATATGCACTTTAAACAATTTATATTATTGTTAGCTATTTAATTAATATTAACCTTCATGTGAAAATGATGTGACTGATTTAAAGGTAAAATATTATGAAAATGTTATTAAATGGTTGCTTGCTTTCTCACCTTGTTTACAAAACAAAAAAAAGAAACAGTTGGTTTAAGAAAAATATAAATCGTAGTATTTTAGCTGTGAAATACTGTAGTTATGAAAAACACTTACTTCAGCCACTCTGTTTTTAAACCAAGTTGCTATAATAGCTATTCCATCATTGGGTAAAAATGCCCAGAAGCCTGCCAATACAACAATCATTAGCCAATCAAAGAATTCCAAGAAACTTGCTTGTTCTGCCTGCAGCCAAAATAGAAGGTGACTAACCAATACAGTGCTGTAGGATATTTGATATCCAGAACGAAACATTAATATTAAGGTTTTTTACAATAAACCAGTGTCTCAGTAGGCCAATTACTCATTACCTAGCCTATAAAAGCTTACGGAGAGCACAGCACCAAACATGGTATATTTTGCTGAGTGCCACTCTTGAATAAGGGCTACAGCGCAGAAATATTCTATTAAAAAATAAATAAAAAATTTATAAGAATGATCAATAAACATTAGTTAATTAGTTCCATTTATTTCGAAGGGGTGTTCCGTTTGGGAACAATGGCAATTAGTCGGTTTATCCAGGTAAGTATTCACGAAATAGACTGGAGCATTAGGAACCTCAGTTGCAACAAGTGTGACCAACCTATGTACAGGTAAACTCAACAGAGGTTCTGAACAGTAAAGGAAATTATTTATATATTTATTCAATTTTCTCCATTCTGGATTGCACGCTTAATGCGAAGGCACTGGTTATTGTTGGGGTCCAGATAAAATTTACATAAATACAGAAAAGTGGTAAATTGAAAAAAAAGTGTATGGTGATGAAATAAATTTTGTTACCATTAAAATAAACGTTTCTGCCCTCAATCAAGAGTACGTACCAACATACTTTGGTGTTTCAAGAGTACAAGAGCACTTTCATATGCTGGACTTGCACTACGGTTTACAACCACATAATGCTTATGTGTTAAGATGACTTACCTCATGGTTTAAAACGACAAGAGCAATTCTTATATGCCAGACTTACCCCATGGTTTAGAACCACATGAGCAATTTCATGGGCCAGAACAATGCCTAATTGATGCTCATTCATAACAGCTAAGAGCATACCAGTAAATACAAAGATATGACCATTCTGAGAATGTAAATGAAAAAAAAACCATGAACACACAAAAAAAACCCAAAAAACCAATAAGTATTAAACAACTGTTATCGATCTCATTATCGCACTTTGTATGTAGCGCCCTCTTGCGGTTTTATTATCTTGTTTATGTTTTCTGTACGTTGCATTATGGGGTAGCTTTCCTCTGTTTGCCTTTGCGCGTGGGTTTTAAATTCAGTAGCATGTACCGGTTGAAGGTAAAAACATGTGTGGCTACTAATTAAGTTTTTGAATCCTGTATATTATGGGTATGTTTCTATATTTTCTTATATTAAGATGATCAGATTGTTTTATATTGTTACATAGACTTGCCATGTTGTGATTTAATGCTTGATAAATGCAAGTTTATAGATTATATTGTGAAATACTGCTATTAATTTATAGCCTAGGCCTAAGTTCTTTTCTGCCGGACAAACAGTGCCTTGGCAGGTGTGATGTACGTCTGATATTGGTTTAAGCCTAATTCTTATTATAGTACAATACGTGGCTATATACCGTATACAATGATTATGCAGTATTATAATGTTTAGAGATAAATTCAATATATAATATAGCTTATGAATGATGTTATTAAGTATTTAAAGCTTACATAGTTATATAACATTTACTGATAAATACAATCTATGGTATTGTATAGCTGATGGATGTTAAATCTTGGTACAGTAATTCCTTTGTGTGAATTTATTATTTTGTGTAATACACTACAACATTACCATTTTATTATAGCATTATTATTCATATGATATAGTTTAATACTATTTAAATCACTGATTTAAATGACGATTTGTTTACAGTATTGTCATACCTGATTGCGGTTGTAATCCTGATGATAAGGATAGCTTTTGATGAAAGATCTTTGTATTGATGCTAGCTTCAGTGTGCAGTTGTATTGCGCCATAATTTATGTAAGCTCATTGACCAATGTTTTATGTATCATTGCTAAGTATATTATTGCATTCTGATTAATGTTCACGGTTAATTGCTATGATTTTAACATTAGGTTAGCTTTATAACGTATGCGTTAATTTCTATGATTCTACATTAATGTAGCATATTGTGAATTATGCATAACTTGTGTACTGTAACATCTTTATTATGGATTGTATTAATTATGAAGTTGCCTTTCATGACTTAAATGTAACTGACTAACTTATGCATGTACTTGATGTTTAGAGTTTAGTCTCTTTACATGATATTATGGTTTCTCAGTGAAGATTTATTGAAAGTACAGTATTATTATTGATTGAGGTTGTATTGATGATCTGTTTTTAATATTATTATTATTGTATTGTATCTTATATTTTTTACATTTATATTCAGTCACCAGGTCGGTGCGAAGTGACGAAATAAATTAGTCTGACAAACTACAGGAACTCGTCTCGTATCCTACTTTGCGTGTAATAGTTTGGCGCCCTCAGTGTTATCTGGCTAGATACCACTACAACAACAATGAATGATAATGGGAAAATTAATTTCAATGATGGTGTGAAGTGATTTTGTACAAGAATATACAATCTGATCAAACAGTGTTTGTGCAAGAATATACAAATCTGATCAAACAGTGTTTGTTGACTTTAAAGCTCTGTCTACACTATCAAAGTTTCTTTGAAATAAAACCTGTTGTATGCCCATATATAGTCATGATGTGCCTATATATGGTCATGATATGATGCCATTATGACCATATTTAGGCATGTCACATGTTTTTTTGTCAAATAAACAAAAAACAAACAAACAATAAACAAACAACAAACAAACTTAACAAACAATAAATCTGCCAAAACACCTTGCAGTTTTGTATACATGTTGATTTCAGTTGAGATTATCATTGAAATACCAATTAATTTTTGTGTACAAAAAGTAATTATAAGCAGTTATTATTATTACCGGTAGGACAAATGCGTTTTTCTGTTTGGGGTCATCCACAATATGTACCACCCATGTCCTATTCTTAATCTCAGGTAGGTGTTGATTGCACTTGATCAACTGCGAAGCAACTTTGTCAACGAGATGAAATAATTCATGCGAATCAATAAACCGGTGCTCATACTGTCTACATTGCTGAAAAGTCAAGAAATAATGCAATAATTTTTCAATTACTGAAAGCTTTTTTTAGTCAGACTACAGGAGTGTAGGATCTGTCTCTTATACACATCTAGATGTGTATAAGAGACAGATCTTACACTCTCACTACTATTATAACGTACATAAACATACAATACAACTTTAAAAGAAAAAATTAAATATGAAAATGAATTTATTGACTTAGTATCAGGAATTATCTTCATACTGGAAGGGATTAACATCCTGAGGTGTTCCTTTACCAGCCAAATAGTCGAAAAATATTGCACACATTTTAACTTAAATATTAGGAAGGAGATTATTAAAATGAATAAAATAGTAATAATTGTCAATAAAATTTAACATCCATTCCCCCTTCCTCTGCCAGCATGCTATATGAGAAAACAAACTTCCTTTCTCTGCCCTTCTCTGAAAAGCTTTCCAAGATAATTTTTTTCTAAACCAGGTATATATTATACAGTACTAACAATAGATAACAAGCAGTCAGAGGTCTTATGGGAATACATTTACAGGTGGTGATGTACCTTTGGGATGAGTTCTTCTAAATGTTTTGCTCTGTGTTCATGTGTGGGATGTGTACCTGTCTCTTATACACATCTAGATGTGTATAAGAGACAGGTTGTTTGTCTGTGCTTGATTTATATTTTATTTTTTCCGCCATTGATTTTTAATGTTTATAAATGTCAACTTATAATGTTCACATTTTTCAAATTTTATATTGAAATTTATTTTATGTCAAGAGGTACCCACTTTTGTGTTGGGCCCTTTGCCGCCCATGGGTTTCTCTTGGACATAATTGTAGTAATGTCGAATTTAAAATAAATAAATAAAAAATAAATAAACAAATAGATGAATGAATGAATGAATGAATGAATAATCCTAACTGATAAAAGGAAAGGTACACAAACAATCATAATTATAATTTATGCATATTATGTTCTGTCTCTTATACACATCTAGATGTGTATAAGAGACAGGTGTTGTACGAATCAGTGAAACTTCTGATATTACATTACCTATTTTGTATACTCCACGATGCCCTATAAAGTGACCTTTATGCACAGGTATGGTGCTTTTGAATCGGCACATCAATTGTTTGTGAATGAGATTTGATTCCATTGTTATTAGCCATGTTCTCATGGCTGACAGACAGCATCGTGGTCGAGGACATCTAATGGCAAATATGTTTAATGACAACATGATCTAAATGTAAAGGAAAAAAAAGGAAATACATAGACTATATTGGAAAGCATTCACTGTGACTTTGTATGGTTGGTAAATTACAGTATTGTAGGCCTAGCATAGGCCCATTATTATTATACCTCGGTGAGGTAGTAAAAAAATTTGTATGAATTTACGAGGTAACTGGCCTCATAAATACCAATTAAAGGTGATTAATTTTAGGCCTAGCTGAAGTTTTAAAATGTTCACAAGCCCTAGCTAAAAAGCCGGCACTAATTCATGTAGTAGTATTCTACATCCCAACCCTTTAATATCGTTATTTTAATGCACCCAGCCTGTAGGCTGTGGCATTGATGGTAAGGTAGAGTACTAGGCTGAAGCCCCCATCAGACAGGTCAAGCCCCGCCCCCACCGGCCAGAATCTCTTCGGGCCTAATGAAATGAAATGCGTGTTTATTGAGTTGAGTTTGAGAGTATAGTAACAATTGTATTTTATCACTTTTATCAAGTATTTTTCGGTCTGAGAGGGCCATTTCCAGTCATCCAGTGGTCCCTATTTTTAAAGAAATCTCATAAATAAGGGGGTCGCAAACCCTCCCCTAGCTCAGTCAGAAAGCCCTTGGTCCTGGCTGGATGGCTGGGCGCCAAAGTTAATGTTGTTATCTCACTCGAGCCTAGGGCCTAAGCCCCTAACCCAAACCTAGTAGTCGGCTTATCGTCCTGCCAAAGGTGGGTACACAAAGAAAATCCAGCTATGGTTTAACAAAAATACTACTAGGCCTAGTTGTAGTATCTTCTGTTGTAGTACCTTTGGTTTTAACTAAATGACATCTGATCATAAACCTTCCACCACTGGAATTATGGAACGCCACGCCGTTAGTATCTCCGGTTATGTGCAAAAAAACCAGTGTGACTGGTATCAATACTCTTTGCTGGTATTTTTCACATTTACGGCAGAAATTATAGAGGGTGCTATTTTAGGTCAGTTAGGAGTCGGTTTTTGTACAAAACCGCAATGACTAAAACGGCAATAAACCAAAACGGCAATGTACCAAAACGGCAACGGACCAAAACGGCATGTCACCAAAGCTGCGGCAATAGGCATTAGACCAATACGGCAAAGGAAAGGAGCAAATCAATAGGACTGTATTTCTTACTATTTTATTACTGAGTTAATGCAGGCAAACACCTCACTATAAGGATATCCGAGTTTTGACGTACAGCACATTGGAATCTACTGTATATCTAACTAACTGTTTTCCAGAGAATTTCCTTGACACCGTTTCTCAATGTTCGTCTGTTTTTAAATCGTAATCTGCATGTCCGAATTTTATATGTAGAAAAGTATAATTTAGGGCATCTATAAAGCAAAAAATAAATTAAATTCGATTTATTCATTCATCAAGTTAAACTCACTACAGGATATCGATTAATAATACAGTACCAATAGTTCATATGATTAATAATAAAACAAATGTTACAAAAATAATAACAGCACATTTTAACGACTTAAATGCTATGGGATGAAACGATTTATATTTTATTTTTTCCGCCATTGATTTTTAATGTTATATAAATGTCAACTTATGATGTTCACATTTTTCAAATTTTATATTGAAATTTATTTTATGTCAAGAGGTACCCACTTTTGTGTTGGGCCCTTTGCCGCCCATGGGTTTCTCTTGGACATAATTGTAGTAATGTCGAATTTAAAATAAATAAATAAAAAATAAATAAACAAATAGATGAATGAATGAATGAATGAATGAATAATCCTAACTGATAAAAGGAAAGGTACACAAACAATCATAATTATAATTTATGCATATTATGTTACCCTAGAGAAAAAAATATACAGAAAATAAACACACATATACACGCATACAGATACATTAATATAGGCCTACTTGTGCAAATACTCATCTTCCTACAACAAACACACTATGTATGTATACATACGCAAACACGTAAATATAGATAATGTACATAGTGATATAAAAATGAATAATGAATTTGATGTACAAATGCCTGCAGACTGTGTTTGCCAGACCACATATTACCGTCATCATATTCAATCTCTCAATCATTTCCTTATTTAAAATTTACACTTTTACTCACTATTTAATGATTGACACTTTTTCGTTTACCATACAAAAAATGAACCAACCTTCGTGGCCCCCAGCCCCGGGGTTGTAGGATCCGAAGAGGCCTTAGACAAGCGACAAGATTCTCAGGCTTTCGTTCGTGACACATCCACTGGCCCCTGCTTGTACGTTTAACTTGTTTTCCACACGTATTGAACATGTTCGATACGGTATGTTCGATACGGTACATGATTGTTGTTATCGACGAATTATCGTAATTTAAATATAACATTTATGTATAAAATAAGGACCATTTAAATAGAAATTTAAGCGTTCTAAAAAATTAATTATGTTTTTTAATGAAATTTTAATGCTATATATCATATTATTACATTATTCTGCATTTCTTCAAACAACTATAACTAGTTTTAGTGATATTAATAAAAATATATATTATTAGGTCTATCATTAATGTTTGTTAATTGTATTATATTATTACGTTTACTGGTAATGATTGACATGTTACTAGAAATAATACTTAAAATAATGAAAAGAAGTTTCTTGATTGCAGATAGAATTTCAGTAGTCTGGTACTCATACTATTAGAAACATGTCCGAGACACAGTAAGTAATACACACGGATTCATCTTCTATATTCTTGTTTACACTTTTCCGCCTATACAAACGGACCTATTCAGAATATATTGATCGATTGCTATACTTGTTCACTCAAGCAGAAGAGAAGTTGAGAACGAGTGAATGGTTACAAACATTAGCTTGGAAGCCACGAAAAGCCTCTTCATTTAGGACCCATGTCCGCCTGGGATATTATAAAACAGGCCCTCAAACCGAAGAACTAACGCAAGGATCATAAATAAATTAAGGTAAAATATACCTTTTACCGGACAATACAAGTTAACCTGCGTGTAGGAGATTTTGCTTAGAAATATAGGAATATTCATTATTAGAACAGCACAGGTAAGAGTATTTGATACAAGTACACCTAAAGTTACTGCTTCGGTAACTCGTCAGAGAGGTTGTCTTTTATAATAATACCAATGGTTGGTTGAATTTTCACAACAGAATATACAAATCTATTCAAAGTATGTTGACTTTGCTAATATAATGTTTTGTATTTCTAAATATACAAAAATAAGCTAGTACCTAAATACCTAAATGACAGGTATGACAAATGACAAAATTTCCAAGCCCAGTGTCGTAAATTGGTTTTAATTAAGAATTGGCGGATTCAGTTAATTATTGTATACATGTTTCCATGGAAACACAGGTAGGTTGTTGTAAGGATTCGTTTTTTTATTTTTAATTCAAAATCGTGGGAAATAAACCATCTATATTAACACACATGATCGTTTAACAAAAGGCAATCCAGGAAATATTCGAATTGCAATTGTAATTATCTAAGGTGGTAGGCCTACATATCATAGCACGTTTATCCTAATAGAATGTAGTCGTATTTAATGATAATATAACTACTATACTTTATGCTTAGTCCTACCGTATAATAAGCAAGTGCTATGGTATGGTAAGTTTTACAGAATTGTGAACCATAGGGAAACTTGGACAATCATTACATGTTGACTCATGTGGATGAGTATTCCGTTACACCAATAAACAGTTCATGCCTTCTTGATTAAATACCACTACCAGACATACAATGACAGTATGAACTTGCACAGTTAACCATGGTCAAAGCTATTATCAATGTTTAATAAAGATGAGGCATTGAATGGACTAATTGTTACACTGTTTATTATAGTCCTATTTCCTTGAGAGATTGAAAATGGTTATAGTACATAAGGATATGACACTCAAAAATAGACCTAGTACGTATGTCCAATAACAAATAAAGAACCCGCTACATGGAGATTGGCGTCAAAAGACGGTTTATGGACACTATCAACAAAATACGTCTATAATGAGGATTTCACTCCGTGCGAACTTTTTATATTCTGAATATCTGGCTCAATGTGTCTAGCGATAACAATAAAAATGATATTATTCATATTTCATTATGAATAAATATTTATTATTAGACCTATTTTTACAGTATATATAGGCCTATATATTATTTATCGTACAGTATATACTGTAGTTATTATCACCACCAATAATAATAAAAGTAATAATGCAATTATTATTGTTATTACATATAATATATTATCACTGTTATCATTATCATTATTCTCAAATAATTTCATCTTAAAATATACTCTTGTAGAAATTTATAAAATAAATTATAATTAGTTAATTATCATTAATTAACTAACTTGTTCAACAACACAGATAATTATCCTCACATTGAATCAAAGGAAACACACTTTATAGGCAGTTCAGTCAACAGCGAAATTTATTTAACAAAATAAATATTATTTATGTAACTTACATAGGGCCGATATCGACTGTATATTGATTGTATTTTCAATGCCGCAGGGTAAATATGCTTATTAAAATTGTTGTTTGGGCTCAATCAATAATTATAATAGTAAATACCGATGGAGTTTACAGCATGTAATCTTTTAAAATGGCAATCACAGCGACCAACCACTTAGTGCGTACTAAAGTCAGACGCGTATGGGATGCACGCGTTGTATGAACCTATCACAAGGTAATAAGCCTAGTTAATCTGTATAAAACGATAAGATTGAACTAAAATGACTACAATAAACATACCTCCGCTTTAACATTTAACCATTGACGACATAATTAAAACCTACAGGTGAATTTGGTTATTTAATTTCCGTAACAGCAGACGTAAGCTTAGTAAAATATTGGCAATCCATGAATTTAAAAAATGTTTAATGCGAGGACTAAGACAACTCAACATCTTATAATATACAACCCTTTGAACTCCTCTTCAATATTTCATGGTAATGAAATTCCACAATTTTTTTACACGTTTTTTGAATATAACTTGATTTTATTTTGTTTACTCCTAGGTCTAGTTTATGAAATGCGTGGATTTTCGATAAAATAATGACGGTGTTGTTATCTATAATTGTTGTGGTTTTATTTACAAGCGGAATATTTGCTCAAGACGGTGAGTATTTCAAATGAATATTTATATAATATTGGGATAGAAACTGTTAAACCCCATCTGTCGAATAAGATATCTATCCGATATTTAACATTAAAATGTGATATTTTATTGTTTGTGAATTTGTTACGACAAAAATATGAGTGTTTAAGGAAATAAATGTATTATGATATATAAATATTTGTTTGTATTTGGTGAATTAATTTTTGTTGTTAAAGTATTTAAATTAATTATTATTATTAATGTAAACCTCCCAAACTAAGGCTTGCGATGTTTATTTTTGTAGCTTGCTCGCCAAACCCATGTTCTTATGGTGGTACGTGTATATTGGCCACTCTTGCACCCGGCTATGTGTGTCTTTGTAACATCGGACTACAGGGACAAAACTGTGAACAATTCACAGCAGGTAGGCCTATAAATGTTTGCTGAATCAATATATAATATGGTAATGTAAGTTGACGCAATGGTTGTGGCTCGGAATCTCAACCCTGAGGCCGGAGGTTCGAAACCTTAGCTGTGCATGTCGCTTGGTGTGATTATTATTATTATTATTAGGCCCACTGTCTTTATATATTTTTTAATAATGATTACTGTACTAGACCTATATCTTATCAAGTTAATTCTGTTTATTTCCTCGTTTTTTGCAATACTTATAAGGTCAAGATTGTGGCCAAACGTTTTCTGAGGAATCTGGAACTGTTACTAGTCCTGGTTTTCCGAATACATACACGCCAAATGAAAACTGCTATTACTTCATCCGAATTCCACATGCTTTGTCGATAACAATACGATTTGATACGTTTATCACTGAACTGGACCACGACACGTTGGAAATTTCTGCTGGGCCAAGTCTATTAACCGGTAGTAGTGGAATTCTTGTATTTTCTGGATTATCGTCCATTGATCCACTGACGTTGAATAGCAACCAGATTGCTATTCGCTGGTCAACAGACGATGAAACGCAACTACAAGGATTCTCCATTCAGTACTTTTCAGGTGAGCCCATAAACTATTAAAATTTCATATAGCCTCCTAATGGTAATGATAGAGGACTTGATTGTATATGGTCTCTATGCGATTTAATGTGATGTGCAAATTAAATCAAAATAAAAAACAATACAAAATATCATAAAAATAACTTAGATCTGTCTACTTGTTACCGACAATGACCTAGAGCTGTTAAATTTTCAATTAAATTCCTTCAACTAAATATCTGGTTACTGGAAGTGAACTTCTTTACAAAACTGATGAGTACATTAATAGTGCATTTAATTGCATAGGCCTACTATGTATCCGATACGTGATCATCATCTCACCTTACGTTAAAACGCCTCTATTATGCCTCGAGGCAACAGTAAAATAATTCTATCTAATTCGCTTTTAGCTATCTTTTACATTTTAATTAGTTGTAAACCATTTAGAAAGATCTTCACATTCTTCTGTTAAGCACTATTAACCAAGTATTACCACTGTCGAAATACTAAAAAAAAAAAGAAGAAAAAAAAAAAAAAAAAAAAAAAGAAAAGAAAAACAAAAAAAAAAAAAAAAAAAAAAAAAAAAAAAAAAGAAAAGAAAAACTCTTTGGTGATTTTACCTCTTTTGTTATAATCAACAATTGAAACACATGCTGTTGATATATTGCCAATTTGAAAAATAATAAGTGAATTGAATAAGAAGTGAATTGAATAGAATTTATTCGGCATCTAAAAGAAAAACATTTACCGTAACATCAAACATTAAAAACATAATTTACGAAATTACATCGAGATAGATAAAAAGGCCTGAAGCCAGAAGTTAAAAATTAAAGAACTAATAATCATTTTTCTAAAATGTAAAAAAATGATTATTTTCTTTATATATATAGGCCTATAATGATGATGATGATGGTAATAATAATATTAATAATAATAATAATAATAATAATAATAATAATATTAATAGTAATAGTAATAGTAATAGTAGTAGTAATAATAATAATAATAATAATAATAATAATAATAATAATAATAATAATAATAATAATAATAATAATAATAATAATAATAAATTTATTAACCAATTTCCAGTGGGAAATATTTGGCACCAACTATAGGAAGTAGGCCTATTTGGTAGTCAGACTTCAAATGTGAATTAAAATGCATCGTATCAAAAATATAAACCATGAAATTGTTCTTATCTAATCTTGATGATAATATAACTATTTTAATTATAATAATAATTGGTACAATTATTAATTTGAAATGATCATTCTAATTAGGCCTATCGTGTTACATGATTAATGCTGGATTTTAACTTTTAACTTTTATTTTCTTTTTTCCCATTGGGGGTTGTTCTGAATAAACTTAAATTTGAAACAAATAACTATTAGCCTGTTTATATAAAATTATGTAGGCCTATTATGATTATTTACTTCCTCATTAGATATAAGTTCATGTGTTAGTAATCCGTGTCAACATCATGGAACATGCATTAATGTGATCGATGGTTACATCTGCTCATGTAAACCAGAATATCAAGGGATACATTGTGAGACAGGTAGGGACCTACGCTTAAAAAAATACTTTCAACAATCAACATTCTAGTTTGGTTCAGTCTCAGTCACTCAATACTGTCCAGTTCATAATACGTAGAACAGTAAAAATACAAATTATAAAACGAGAATTCACTTAATATGTGTGTTTATAATATACCAAACGTTTTTGTTATATTAATGATTGAAGTCTAAAGCGATTACAAAAATTGGGTAAAATTGAAGTGTGACCTGTCAACCTATGTTTAAAGGGTGGTAAATCAAAATATTTTGGACATGTGATTTCGGAAATTTGTGACAGGACTTTTTTGTAAATTACAACGTACGTATCATTTTATCCACCATTTCACGTTATATAGTGAATAAATAATTGCCTCGTACGTCTTACTAGCAACATTACTAGGTCTGGCTACCTTTTTAAGGCCAAGGCCTGTCTGTTATAAAGGGTTTAGCACAGCAGTAGCCCTACCTAGCTAGGCCTATTAGAGTAGCGGGGCCTCCTCTTTACTTTAGAGTAGCAGGCTCTCTTGTTGGAAGGGGTGGTTATTCTGTTGGACTGGAGCCCTAGGCCTAGTGTGGATGGAATTGGTTTGTAAATTATAACCAACTTAGCTTAACTTACCAGAGGCATAAGCCAGTACGATTGTTATTTCAGTTACGAAAAATAGTCTTTTATAGAACTTTTTCAATGTTTTGTCTGTTTGCCGACATCCACAAATATGCGCTCATTTATCAAGTGGAAAAAGGGGATTTTAATAATTTGAACAAACCCTAGCACTTTGTACCATGGAGCGCTTTCCTTGATCATAATGACGCAGAAGCATTATGGAATGGATTTATGGATATTTTTTTATGCTGCGGTACGGGACAGTTTTCCCCGAGTTAAAAAGCAGGCTCGTAAACAAAGTAGTCCGTGGATAACATAAGATATTAAATGTATGATTCAGAAGAAAAATAAACTTTTCATTAAATCTAGACGTTCCCGATCATTGGGAAGCTCACAGAAGATGGTGAAATAAAGTGAATTACTCTATGAAGAAATCCTATAAGGATTACGTAAATGATCTTTTTAAATCTGATGATAATAAAAAACGTTTTTTTCTCCTTTGCAAAGGAGAAATAGTCATCTTGTTTACCTAATAAATTTATTAATCCAGTAAATAATTCAGAGTTTTCCAACATTCAAGACATTGTTAATAGTCATCTTGTTTACCTAATAAATTTATTAATCCAGTAAATAATTAAGAGTTTTCCAACATTCAAGACATTGTTAACGGCTTTGATTGTTACTTTACCTCAACTTTTAATCAATTAACGATAATTTTAATTTTAACGAACCCCCTGTTTGCTCACTTAAAATTCCGGCACTTACTGATGTTGCATTTACTCCGGATGATATCATCACAACTATTTCCACATTTCTTTAAAATTCGGCACCTGGTCCAGATTTAATCTCTGCCAAATTACTGAAGCCAATATCCAATCGATTGCATATTCCCCCTCAGTTGTCGAACTCTTTCGTCTTTGATGTGCAAGGTTTTGGAGAAAATTATTGTAATAGCATTAATAATTTTACATACGACAATGGTTTACTCAATCCAAATCAACATGGATTTGTTTAAGGTAATTGCTCTCCAGTCTCTATTTCGTGTCTTTACAAAGCATTAGTCCTACCAATTCTTGAATATGATATACCGGCATGGGCCCAAGAACTGCAAGTAACATAGACCGCATTGAAAAAATTCAAAGAAGGGTATCTAGGAGAATTCTTAGACCCCACTGTGGGCCAATATCATATGATGAACTTTTAATTATATTTGGTTGGTTATCTCTACGTGATAGACGATTAATGATTTTAATTTTGTTTATTTTTCGATGTTTATACAAGGTTGCTTCCTGCAACATTGTTTCCAACAACAATCAAGTCAACCCGCGTCATACTTAATCACTCACGTTTATCCATCCAGGTTTTGCTCGTACTGATGCTTTAAAATATACACCAATCCATAATTTTCCTGTTGTTTGGTCATCACTTCCCCCTTTAATTAAAGACTATGCTGTTGTTCACCCTCTTAAATTATTTTTATTTAAGTTCAGAAAACACGTCTTTGATAATAGATAAGTTTTGTATAAATTGCAACTCATAGATTCTGTACAATTTCATTTTAATAATATTTCACTTCCAAAACCTATCGCTTTTCAACTGTATATTTTTTTTCTTTCTTTTTTTTTGTTCAAACTTGAATTTTGTTTACATCTAATTTACTGGACCTTTTAATTTGTTGGTCTTTGAATTGTATTTTATTGAAATTGTAAATATCAGAATTTTAACTATGTAATCTGTTGTATGTACAGGGGTTGCGGACACATTTGTGTTATGGCTCATTGTTGCTGACGCAGACCCTGGACTGTTTGATGTCAAAATGACTAAACTTACAATTTCTATCATTCTAATGGTTTTTATCTTTAATACAAACTGATCTTCTCCCAAGACTCAATGTAAATTTATTTCTTTAAAAAAAACAAGCATTAATTGTCACCAATCAAAGGATTACTTGTGCTAACTGCATTTAATATTGTGTGCATAACAGATGTCATTTAATGTTTTTATAGTATCCGATCCATGCAGTGAGGATCCCTGCCATAATGGAGGTACTTGTATGCAGTCTGGTTCCACTTACTCTTGTCAATGCCAGTCTGGTTGGAGAGGAGAAGTGTGTGATGTTGGTGAGTTAAACATTATATAAAGATAGATACTGTACCTGTTTGCCTTGAAAATGAATAATTCTGTACTATGTGTGTTGGTTAATGATTAGAGCGTCAATGTTCGGGAATGGGACCTTCTACTCTAGTAAATGTTCATAAGTACTAACAAACTATAGATCAAGTTGAATTTCAACACATTTTATACTTTTTTTTATCTTGCAGCTTGTATTGATTTTTTAAAATCTTTTTATCATTTCTTTTAATTTTCTTGTATTTTAATTTATATGTTTACCAAATCTGGCCCTCTTGTGAATCCTTCAATTGTATTGTGTAGTATGGATTATAATAAGATGTTATGTGTTTTACTGACTACATTTGCAGCACTCATCCATGTAAATTCATTTAAAACAAATATTTCTTTTTGAAGGAGTTGTTTTGGTGTCATCAATGGAAGTCCAACTTCCATCAACAAATATACTTGAAAACAACCCAAGTCTATCAGTGGACATTACTGTTACTCCAGCTGAATCTTTCTACAGTATTACAGGGCAGAATGTCTGGGCCTTCCGTGTTTATTTCAGCAGCCAGTCTGATGGAGGAGGTGTTGTCCATAATGCTGTGGCCAGGCTGACATCCAACCAGGCTAGCACATCATGGCTTCCTCCTATGCCTAGCGAGTTCAATCAGGTATTGGTGGATGGTACACTTATTGAGAGTACTTGTGTGGACCTCAGGTACCTGTGTGTTGAAATCATGAAGGAAGATTCAGCACCCTTTGAATTAGAAGGATTACTTGGGCAAAGTTCTCTAGTGGACTGTGTTGCTGTAACTTGCCAAGGTAATCTACCAAGTCATATATTTTAAAATTACAGTACCTATTCAATCTGTATAGTATTAGATTCTCTAACCTTAATAATACAAATTTCTCTTTGCTAGGTGTGCAAATTACTCAGACGTTAGTTACCCTGAAGGCAGGATTACTTGTAGAGGGTGGTATAAATTACAATACCCGTCTTGATATAACATTTACATCATCCATTAACTCTGCAAGTATCTTTGGTACCAACCTCTGGGAGATAACAGTATTTACAAATGAGCAATCTGATGGAATGGGCACCCAGATGGTTGTCCAACCTGCCCTACTTTCCCAGTCCCAGTCTGGGACACCACTAGTTTCTGGTGGGTCTGCTTCATTGTCTGACATCACTGTGAATTTAGACCTGACTTTGGCCACCTGTATGCAGAGTAGATACATTTGTGTTGAAGTTGAGAAGGATGCAGAAGCTAACCCAGATTTCACATTGGAAGGAGCTAGTTTAGATGCTCTCATTGGCTGTGCTGCAGTTGAAGATTGCAAAGGTATCTATCACAGCATTTAAATGTTGATGAAAGCGAAAATAATATAAATTACTGTGATATATTTTATGAAGAAATACCTAGAATAATTGGTTTATACCAATTACTTGCTGCTGCTGATGCTGCAGCTAATGGTAGTTCAGCAGCTGCTCATACTGCAGCTTCTACAAATGCTGTTGATGCTGCTGCTACTGATGCTGTTGATGTTGCTGCTGCAGTTGTTGATAGTATTATCTATGCTTCTGATGCTGTTGCTACTACTACAATATTGCTACATGTTACTGTACCACTGCTACAACTTTCATAACTTTTTTCGGTTATTTTCAGGTGTCGAAATTACCAGTACATTACCTTCATTCCAATTCACAACATTGCTTCAGGGGGTTAGTTCACAGACTTTCTATGTTGATGTAAAATTTACTACAAATCCAAATGCTGGGAGTGTGCAGGGATTTAAATTATGGAAGCTAACCATGTTCACCAGTAGCCAACCGGATGGCAGTGGTGACCGATGGGCATCTGCGCCTGTACAGTTGATGTCAGACCACCTGCAAACAGGTGTTGTGGCTGGTCTAGATAGTAGCTTGAGAGGATTAGAAGTTACTTTGGATTTAACAGGAGTTGTTTGTGCACAGGCAAGGTTTTTATGTGTAGAAATTGGCAAAGGTGATGAAGCTTCACCAAATTTTACATTTACTGGACATCCAGACGGCAGTTCCCTAATTGGTTGTGTTTCAACATCATGTGGAGGTACATCATGTTTGTAATTGTAATTTTATATATTTACATCAGATACATCTTATAAAATAATTTATTTATTCATGATAGACTTTTATATCTTTATAATACATTATATTCTCATAGCTTTTTTCTTTCATAAACAAATTTACCTGAAAGGAGTTATTTTGTTATACTGTAAATTATGATGAATAAATATAGGTTATGACATTTAAATGCTTTTAAATACCAAAATAGTTCAACTTCATTGGATGACATAATCATAACATATCATAAGTGATAAAATGGAAAATGCAGTATACACTATTTTAGTTATGTTTGAACAGTTATAAAGAAATTTCCAAAAGAAAAAATAGATTATCTAATTTCCCTAATAGGAGTTGAAATTACCAGCACAAGTGTTTCTATTCGCTCGGGACTGCCAGTGATTGAGCGTCAGTCAAACTCAATATCATTTGATGTCATATTCACAAGTAGTGCTCTTGGTGGCAGTGTAGCAGGGACGAATCTCTGGTCAATCACCAGTTTTCTCAACAATGATATCACAGGAGGTGGTACACGTTCTGCTGAAGCTCAAGCCACGATACCAACGAACCAGGCGATGACATCCATTAATGCTGGTGAATCAGAATCACTGAGTGGGGTGACATCTGTAGTTGATCTGACGGGAGCAGCATGTGCTGATGCTCCTTATTTTTGTGTTGAGATTAGCAAAGGAGATAATCCAACACCTGACTTCCAGATTGAGCCGTCGTTGAATCCGCAATCACGTGTCAGCTGTGCATTATTAAAATGTCAAGGTATAATTGTAGTTTGCAAATTTATTTTATAATCAAAGAATTATTTTTTAAAATTATTTTAATATGCATGACATAAGTGTATTCATACAAAACATTTTTAGGATTACGGTATTTCTTCATGTTATGTAGTACTATGTTGATACATCACAAAACTATTTGGCACCAAAGTAAAATGAAATAGTGTCACATGGTATCGTGATGCAGCAACATAATGCACTGTTGGGATTCAATTAATTTTAATGTTATAATTTCTACTGTCATTAATTTATTCTTCACTTGCATTTACTTGTGTGTACAGGTGTTATTGTTACCTCCATTGATTTGTTCATCACGTCTGGGAATCCATTATATTTTCGAAGCTCACATCATGAAATTCTTTTTAACTTAACATTGAACTCTGACCCTGCTGGTGCAAGCATTACTGGAAGTGATCTATGGTCAGTGGAAGCCTTTACAAATACGATGGAAGATGCTAATAACGGCTTTGTTGCAGTCTTGGACACTCTTACACCATTAGCCAATGCAGGCAACACTTCTTTAATTGCGGGACATACATATGTATTACAGGGATTGTCTACCACCTTTGACCTCAGCACTATCCCAGGATGCTTTGCTGTGACATTTTTTTGTGTAATTGTAAACAAAGGAAATTCTCCGTCACCTGAGTTTACTCTAAATGGAAATCCTGATGAGTCTTCACTTCAAAAGTGTGTTCCAATTCAATGTCAAAGTAAGTGTCTACCTTTGAAATGGCAATGGGTAAGGAATTAATTAAATTTCCATTCATCAGTGGTATATCTAAGGAAGGGCATGGGGTGGGGTGCCTGTCCATCCAAAAAAACATTGTGCCCTTCCCGATGCCTCCCCACTGGATATTTGCTGAGCAAGAATACGCTCAAGTAATTAAAATCACCTCATATCATCATATTAATTTGTCTGCTAGTGCCAACTAACTTGAATATCGATATTTGCACATCTCATCAGCCTCCATGTCATTATTCCTAATTATGTCACTCTTTTTATAGTCACACCAAGGCTGATATTAAAGTTTATATTTTTCATGTTAGACTTGCTAGAAACATTTTTACATTCCTAAATTCCTGTTTTAAATTTTCTCTTGTATGAAAAGGAGTGATTTTATTATCAATAATTTGATTCCAGATCTAATGTCACTTCGTCAAAAGATAATTTATTCATTCACATTTACATTAGATATCAAGGATTCAAAGAAAATGTTATACTTTCACAGCATCTATGACTTACAATTTATAAAGAAATAATTAATATATTACAAGTGAATCCTGATGAATTTCTACAATCACACACAATACCATTTAATATCTATTTTCTTCAATAAAGCTTCAAATCCATGTCAGTCTGGGCCTTGTGGTAATGGTGCCACCTGCATCAATAATTATAATGACTACAGGTGTGTGTGTACAGATGGTTGGACTGATCCATTGTGTTTGACAGGTTGGTTGATATTTTTTAGTGGAATATTAATTGTATATTATTTTTGCCAAAACTATTCTAAAGATTGTGTTATAAGGAACATGTACAGTGGCATATTTGTAATAATTAATGTTTTCTTTATATTTTATTTTTAAATTCAGCTATTGATGTCTGTGTATCTTCTCCTTGTGAAAATGGAGCAGCTTGCTTGAATTTTCAGACTTATTACACCTGCACATGTATGCCTGGGTGGGAAGGAAGTAATTGTGCAAATGGTAAATGTTCACTTTTACTAACACTTATATAATTTAATTTGATTAAACTTTATGCAGATTTGGTTTTTATATTTCAATATCATCAAACAATTATATATTTTGCTGGCCTGATTCATGATCTTGTTTCTAGATTGGTTTATGATCAGGAAAGCCTTTATGTTAGCATAACTACTGTACTTCTGAAGTGTTTTTCTTCCTCCATAATTAAAGAATTATAAGTTTATGAATTATTGATTATTTGAGGAATTGTTATTGATGTTTCTGTGTTTCAGCAATTGATCTCTGTCAGTCATTCCCATGTCAAAATGGAGCAACATGTGCTAATTTCCAGACATTCTACAGCTGTACTTGCACACCTGGATGGCAGGGAAACATCTGTGAACAAGGTAAAATTATAACTGTTTAATTTGTTTTTTAATGTAAAGTAGTTTGAAGTTTAATACTGGATATATAAAATGAATGACTTGTTTTCTAGCCATTGACTTGTGTCTGTCGACCCCATGTCAGAATGGTGCAGTCTGCAACAATTTCCAAACATTCTACATGTGTACTTGTGCACCAGGTTGGGAAGGGCCCATTTGTAGTGCAGGTAAGCTTTTATACCAAATGCCATTATTAAAAATTGTAAATTAATGATAATAATAATAATAATAATCATCATTTATTAGGCGCCTTTCCAAAACAGACCAGAGCGCCGTACACATTAAAACAAAGTTATCAATACACATGTAATAGGTAAAAGAAAATCATTAAAACAAGGGTTAAAATGGCAATATTGAAAAAATGTACCAGAAATGACAACAGATATGAAGTTAAAATTGCAAAACAAACCTAAATATTCGGAAACAAATGGGTTTTTAAAACCTTTTAAAAATCAACCAAGTTGTCGGATTCACGGATGCTAACTGGGATTATTTTTCACCAGAACAACGCCATGTAAATTGTTGTCCATTACTTGAATACTTACATGGATCACTTCTGATTTGTGTGATTTTGATTTTGTAGCTATCAACTTGTGTTCATCTACCCCCTGTGAGAATGGTGCGACCTGCAACAATTTTCAGACTTCCTACAGCTGCACCTGCAATGACGGTTGGGAAGGGTTAAATTGTGAACAACGTCAGTATTTTCGTATTTTTTTTCTTACCAAAATACATAAATTCTAAAATGAACTTGTCAGTTTTTCTATAAAATCTGTTTCTTTTTAACTATTTTTTAGCGATTGATATGTGTGAGTTCTCCATATGCCAGAATGGTGCTACTTGCATTAACCTCCAAACATCATACACTTGCGCTTGCCCCTCAGGTTGGAATGGAATATTCTGTGAACAAGGTAAGTTTAATTGAAATCATGTTTTTTATTTTAATTTGTTATTGTAATAATATGGTAATATTCACACTTTCACATTAAAAGCATTTTTCATTTACAGGAATAGTCGCAAACTTCATAATCATTTCATAATAGTTTACATTTAACCTGTTTTTCACTTACATTTTTCTTTCTAGCGGTTGATCTGTGTTTATCCACCCCTTGTGAGAATGGAGCAGTTTGCAATAACTTTCAGACAAGCTACAGCTGTACTTGCAGTGCAGGCTGGGAAGGGACACATTGTGAACAAGGTAAGTCAAAGTTATAATTTTCTTAAAATAATATTTGATGAATTTACCCTTTATATGTCTTTCACTTCAATGTTCATGTTCTTTTTCCTTCCTAAATGTTAATCTGTGTTTATCCACCCATTTCACCTCAACATTTTTTCCTTTTAGCGGTTAATCTGTGTTTATCCTTCCCATGTGAGAATGGAGGAGTCTGCAATAACTTTCAGACAAGTTACAACTGTACATGTAGTGCAGGCTGGGAAGGGACTCATTGTGAACAAGGTAAGTAAAAGTTATAATTTTCTTGAAAATAATATTTAATGATAGTTTAACATTTATACGTTTTCACTGCAATTTTTTTTTTCTTTTAGTGATTAATCTGTGTTTATCCACCCCATGTGAGAATGGTGGACTCTGCAATAACTTTCAGACAAACTATAACTGTACATGTAGTGCAGGCTGGGAAGGGACTCATTGTGAACAAGGTAAGTAAAAGTTTTAATTTTCGTTAAAATAATATATAATTATAGTTTACCATTTATACGTTTCACTGCAATGTTTTATTTTTTTCTTTTAGCAATTGATCTGTGTTTATCCTTCCCATGTGAGAATGAAGGAGTCTGCAATAACTTTCAGACAAGTTACAACTGTACATGCAGTGCAGGCTGGAAAGGGACTCATTGTGAACAAGGTAAGTGAATGTTTTATAATTTTCTTTAAAATAATATTTGATGAGTTTACCCTTTATATGTCTTTCACTTCAATGTTCATGTTCTTTTTCCTTCCTAAATGTTCATCTCTGTTTATCCACCCATTTCACCTCAATGTTTTTTTCCTTTTAGCGATTAATCTGTGTTTATCCTCCCCATGTGAGAATGGTGGACTCTGCAATAACTTTCAGACAAGTTACAACTGTACATGCAGTGCAGGCTGGGAAGGGACTCATTGTGAACAAGGTAAGTCAAGGTTATAATTTTCTTAAAATAGTAATTGATAAATTTAGCCTTTATATGTCTTTCACTTCTACGTTTTTTCCTTCCTAGTGGTTGATCTTTGTTTATCCACCCCATGTGAGAATGGAGGAGTCTGCAATAACTTTCAGACAAGCTACAACTGTACATGCAGTGCAGGCTGGGAAGGGACTCATTGTGAACAAGGTAAGTCAAGGTTATAATTTTCTTAAAATAGTAATTGATAAATTTAGCCTTTATATGTCTTTCTTTCACTTCTACGTTTTCTTCTTCCTAGTGGTTGATCTTTGTTTATCCACTCCATGTGAGAATGGAGGAATCTGCAATAACTTTCAGACAAGTTACAACTGTACATGCAGTGCAGGCTGGGAAGGGACTCATTGTGAACAAGGTAAGTCAAGGTTATAATTTTCTTAAAATAGTAATTGATAAATTTAGCCTTTGTATGTCTTTCACTTCTACGTTTTTTTCTTCCTAGTGGTTGATCTTTGTTTATCCACCCCATGTGAGAATGGAGGAGTCTGCAATAACTTTCAGACAAGCTACAACTGTACATGCAGTGCAGGCTGGGAGGGGACTCATTGTGAACAAGGTAAGTCAAGGTTATAATTTTCTTAAAATAGTAATTGATAAATTTAGCCTTTATATGTCTTTTTTTCACTTCTACGTTTTCTTCTTCCTAGTGGTTGATCTTTGTTTATCCACCCCATGTGAGAATGGAGGAATCTGCAATAACTTTCTGACAAGTTACAACTGTACATGTAGTGCAGGCTGGGAAGGGACACACTGTGAACAAGGTAAGTAAGTGTTATAATTTTCTTTAAAATAATATTTAATGATAGTTTACTATTTAAGTCTTTTCATTGCAATGTTTTTAGTCCTTTTAGCAATTAATCTGTGTTTATCCACCCCATGTGAGAATGGAGGAGTCTGCAATGACTTTCTGACAAGTTACAACTGTACATGTAATGCAGGCTGGGAAGGGACACATTGTGAACTAGGTAAGTCAAAGTTATAATTTTCTTAAAATAGTAATTGATAAATTTAGCTTTATATGTCTTTCACTTCTATGTTTTTTCCTTCCTAGTGGTTGATCTTTGTTTATCCACCCCATGTGAGAATGGAGGAGTCTGCAATAACTTTCAGACAAGCTACAACTGTACATGCAGTGCAGGCTGGGAAGGGACACACTGTGAACAACGTAAGTGAATGTTTTATAATTTAAAAAAAATAATATTTAATGATAGTTTACTATTTATGTCTTTTCATTGCAATGTTTTTACTCCTTTTAGCAATTGATCTGTGTTTACCATCCCCATGTGAGAATGGAGGAGTCTGCAATAACTTTCAGACAAGTTACAACTGTACATGCAGTGCAGGCTGGGAAGGGACTCATTGTGAACAAGGTAAGTGAATGTTTTATAATTTTCTTTAAAATAATATTTAATGATAGTTTACTATTTATGTCTTTCATTGCAATGTTTTTACTCCTTTTAGCAATTGATCTGTGTTTATCCACCCCATGTGAGAATGGAGGAATCTGCAATAACTTTCAGACAAGTTACAACTGTACATGCAGTGCAGGCTGGGAAGGGACTCATTGTGAACAAGGTAAGTGAA